TGGAAGTTACATTTTCCTCCCCCCCCCCCCCCCCTCCCAGAGCAACCAAGTCCTCTCATCCCAGAGATGGGGGCAGGGGAAGGCATGGCAGGTCCCAGAGGGTTAATGTTGTCAACAAGCAAGAAGCAAATGGTCTTTGCACCTTCTCCGCAGTAAGACGGCTCTCCGACAAATGCATGCTTAATACATGTATGTAGCTGAGTATTTCCTATGTAAAGTCACATCCAGTACAGTGCTGACAATGAACCTCTGCTTCCCACCTCACCAATACCCGTCCCAACTCCAGGTCAAAGACAGGTTGTCGATCGAGAGAGGAGAAAAGAAAATTGATAATAATAATGAGAATAATAAAAATAAAATGTAAAGAAGTAAAACAATAAAAACAATAAATAGAAAGAGTAAGATATATAGTAAAGTAATATGTCTCTTTTCGGGGTCACCCCTTGACCCCGTTAGCTTCCTCTTTTTCTTTTCCTATTCGAAGAGTACTAATCCCCCCCACCACGAAGAGGTGGGTCTATTGGGGGGGGGGGGGGGGGGGGGGGGGAGATAAGGACAATAGATGTTTGATATGAAAGAAGGTGCAAACCACACCAGAGCACCTGCCAACCAACCCCAAACAAACAAAAATTGAAAATATATATATATATGGGCAATTCTCCTGAAAGTTTGAACTTTCTGTAACACGGGTATCAAATTTTAGAATTCAACCAAATAACTTGAAAATGTACTCAGTACATCTTTGACATGTCTAGTTTTGATCCCTACACGGGCTGAAGCTAAAGCTTGCTTGGTTTCTTTGGAAACGGAAGTGAAGTTTAGACTAGTGCGCTATGGTCTTAAACGTTACAGGACACAACAATACGGGTCAAAACATGAAATGTAACGGAGGGAAGGAAAAATTGATTGGGGTAGCATTATGTCCTTTAAATTCATTGTTTGTTCACACAAATTTCAAAGCATTTCTTAAAGAAGAAGATGTTTATCAAACAATCATAATGTCTTTAACGTTACCTTGCAAGAATCATTTTTCAAATAGAAAACTGGACTTTTATTTACAAAAATACTAATTCAAGTAGAACTTTAAAAGAGTATTGCTATAAAACGGGTAATTCAATGCTGTAGTTTCAGCAAATATGAACAAAATCGATAAGTGTTTTCAGAAGCAACATTAGCTAAATACAGTAGTCTTAAACGTTACAGGACAAAATATAAAAAAGGAGTGTGCAGAAAAAGGACGATTTGTTTCTTTAAAATAATATGCACATCTACTGAGAATTAAAACATGTATTATAATACTTCTTTGATGTTATCTGTCATGTTTTTAGAAGAAAAAGACATCAACTTGTTGACTCATTGAGCACATTATTGAGACTTCGCATTTTTGGGACAAAAATCGTGTGGCCGTTACAAAGTGAAACATGAAATTTCCCAAAAGTGAAAGCAGTAGCAGTAGCAGCAGCAGTAGTAGTAGTATTAGCAGCAGCAGCAGCAGCAGCAGCAGCAGCAGCAGCAGCAGCAGCAGCAGCAGCAGCAGCAGCAGCAGCAGCAGCAGCAGCAGCAGCAGCAGCAGCAGCAGCAGCAGCAGCAGCAGCAGAGTATCAAAAAAAGGTATTCAAATCTCCTTCATTATCGCTACTAACATTGTCAAAATACATCGTTAATCGTGGCAGCAAACAGTGTTCTATCTTTCTGTGATATTATGATGATGTTTACTTCCCACAAATGTTTCCATGGCATGGTGATCATATTGAAGATTATTTGGGACCGCAACGATTTTTTGTGAGTTATGTAGCATCCCATTTGGCACACTGTTGATGAGTAGGTCCTTGTCTGTAGCTCGAACAGGAAGATTAAAGCAAATTCATCACAGTATGGACCTCTACTTCCCTAAAGCTCTTTATGATTTCAAAAACACGTAACATTGCCATTGAGCATGAAACAAGTGCATGGAATGTTTACTAGCTTCTTTTCAAAGTCCAACTTCACTCAGCAAGGATGAGGAATTCCAATATGTCTTTTTGCCGCTGTTTTGATAAAGTTTTCTGACGTACATCTTCCAACGTTTGCTTTCGAGCTGCTTTGACTTTTGGAAAGACTTTCATAACTCTGTGGACAGCTTGTTTGCATGATGAGGGTGTCTGTATGACACTTCCTCGAATATATTGAACCTCTTTTTTCTTTTTCTCTATGTCTTCACCTTTTTCCTTGTTTTTTTTTTTTTTAATGGAACCTTTCTCTAGCCTAAGCATTGTCTGCCCTTTCCTTCTGCCCTGACCAGGATGTTGTTACCTCTCTTGCGTAGCTTTTCTATTTCTTTCTTTAGTATCACTAGCCCAGCAAACTTACGTGTTGCCACTTTGCTAGTGGTAGTGGTAGGCAATTTGAGGTTTTCTTTCTTGTTTTTCCTACATTTCTTGACTTGTTCGTTGGTCTTTGCCTTGTGATTTGCAACCTTCTTTCCCTAGACGAACGTCTTCAGCTCTTAACGATTGCACATCGATGTTACCCTTTGTTTTCTTTAATCGGTCCTGGGATTCCTTAGTTGGCTCAGTCTTAAACTTTATTGTAATAAACTTTGTGTTTTTCTTTTTTGGAATTACGGTACTTGAAAGCAATGCATTCAGAGGTCTCTAGCGCAGAGCACGCACCTATTGTAGTGTAAAGTTAGAAAGAGAATGTGGGAGCGGGAGGGGTGAATGAAAAATTGTACCAATCAGTTTTTTAACTGAATTAAAAGAGATTAATGTGCTATACTTGGTGGAAAATAAGATTATGCTGCATTACTTTTGTATTATTTTATTAAAATAATTCGCAACAGAAAAAGTAGTCACAAACTCTGTTTTAGAATGTATAAGAATAAAGTGAATATAAACCGATGTTATTCGTTACTTATGTGGTTTTGCTAGTCTTATCATAGTCCAAGACGATAAAATCAGCTACTATGCCCTAAATATTATTGGGGCAACCCTTATTACCAAGACTTTCGTCAAAATGATTTAGTCCTGTGTAACCATTAAGACCAATGTAAAAACTTATTTTCCTCTTGTTAAAGCCAATTTTAATTTCTGGTGAAAACTAAGGGTAAAGCTACACCGTGGACAAAGCGAAACAGCACGGTCGGGGCAATCAAAATAAAACCAAAGGGAAAGACGGACGTTACCAGCCGTACCAAGAACGGCCGGAAGCGAGGAGATGCCAGGAGAAATTCCGGCCAATGTACAATCGCTTTTATCGCTTGAAATGTACATGTGTGCACACGTGCACATTATTGACAGCTTGCTTGACACTAGTAGATCTACAAAATTTCAGTGATTATAACAAGAAAGAAAACGAGGAGAGCTAGCGAAAACTGTTTGTAAAAACAAAAACAAAAAATAAAAGCAAAACACACAATGCATTTACTTTTCTTCAAAGCAAGACATTATAGAATTGACCTCTTTTCAATTAATTTGTAGACGAAGATCTACCTATCCATCAGTTCTCCATAACATTCCCTTCTTAACACTCTTTCCATCTGTCTCTCATTCTTTCTTTCTCAATCGTCGAGATGGGATGTCTTAAGTTAGTAGTCTGTTAGGTGAGTTTAACCATTAACATTTCATGCAGATAGAAAAAGGAATCACGACTCATTCAAACAATCTGCATATCTGCTTTGGTCGTCTGGTAAATTTCTCTTCAAGAGGTGAAATTCACCAAAACTTATGACGCATTTAAGTAATCGAGTTCGCCTATTTATTTATTTCTTTTCTCTTTAGAGTTACCACGTCGATCAGGAGAAACGGCGCCAACATTTTTCAGTTCATTTTCAACTGAAACTAAAATTGACAAGGAAAATCCTGTACAACGTTACATCACTTGCGT